TTTCGCGTTTAATTATCTTACGTCGAATGCTTTGAATAATTTCTATAAAAAAAAAAAAAAAGAGGAAAAAACGATCGATCGATTGATTTTTGAAAGCACAAATTTACTTAGTAATTGACTTTCGCGGCTAAGTGTAACTTGGTTCGTTTAAAAGTTGTCAGTCATTGAACTTTATTCTTTTCACTTTTTGCCTCATCAACGATTGTCAACCTTTAGAAATTTCTCTCTCGACTCCTATTTGCAAAGTTTCGAGGAGTTTCGCATTCGTTTCGCGCGCGTGTAACTTGTTCACGCGGTCAATAGGAATCGGCCGTTGGAAATAGTAGCAAGATTGACGTCCACGGCTGAATGTCACGGAGTTGTGACGAACCGCGCTCGAAACAACGACCATTTCCAAGATAGCTGTCCCTGTTACATGTACTCGCTACGTGACGTAAAAGCTGGATTTTATTAACGTTATCGAAATCCATCCGCGTTTCCCGTTTCTGCTCGTTTGCCGCCAGATTGGAGAAAAAAAAAAAAAAAAAAAAAGGGACAAAGGAACTCGTTAGGTCAGGGATCAGAAATAATCCCGAACAAGCCACGTGCCAACATTGGTGTTGGTCGTTAGTCGGATTCTTTCGGATGATTTGGAATCTGGCAATGGTATCCGTGTTACATCTTTCAACCCTTTTTCACTAATGATACAGGTAAAAGTACAGGTTTTTATAATAGATTAAAGAGAGGAAGGTAGACGCGAATATTTAAAAGTTATCTTGGAATCGTATCTTCTCTTATATGTTTAAACGCAAATTAAAATTTATACGAGCTAAAATAGGAAATGAAATAACGTAGCGTATATTTTTTTGGATTTTTTGCATATTCAATAATTTTCTATTTATCCTAATAGGAAGAATATCGATCGAGAAGTTCGATGAACGAACGAAATAATTATATAGAAAAAAATTGTATATCAAGTCCACTTTATTTATCGCAATCTATTAAATGCGGTTCACGTTGTCGCATTCCTTTCGATTCGTATTCCAAGCTCAGAATTTTCTTTCAAATTTTGATCGTTGCCTATCCAGAATGAACGATCCTTCTCGAGTTCCTTTCTCTCCTTTTCCTTTTTCTTTTTTACAATAAATAAATTCCATTCTATAAAAAAAAAGAAAAAGAAGCCGCAACGTCGAGGTAAACGTTTCTCTCTCTCTCTCTTTCTCTCCCTCTCCCTCGTGGTTTTATTTCAATTGCCGTTTGTTAGGGAGAGACGAGCCCGCTCACGTGGCGCTGCGAGGGAAACAGGCGGCGGCGAAAGAGCGAGCGAGATCGATAGGACACGGGTCAGAAATAGTCTCGGGACGATTGTGTGTGCCGTTGGATCGTCAGTCGAATTCCACCGACGGTACGCGCCTCGTCGATTGATGCTGCGCCTTCGGAAACGCGAGACCGGCTATTTAAACAGCGGATCCCCAAGATTGGCGTGCCGCGTCTCGTGGAGAACCGTGCAACCCCCCATGGAACCACCGCTTGTCCACGATCGTGTAAATGGGGTGAACAGTGAGAACCCGTGGCTCGTGCACCACCGGCCTACACCACCGCCGCTCCAACGCGACGATTGATTCACAGGTAACGTGGTGAGAGAGAAGCGAGAGAGATTCATCGATCGATCCGTTCGTTCGTTCGTTCGTTTGGCCGGATTCGAGTTGCGTGGAACGTTCGACGCTCCTCCCGTGAGTAATCGATCCACGATTCACGAGGTGAAATTATCTTTGCCGTGGGTAAAATTAATTATATACCGTTGAGGCGAATATATAGGAGTTTTATTTTTAGCCAGGAGCGTCTAGTTGTCATCCTTTTCCAAGGGAGTTGGAAGTTAATTTTCGGGAGATTTTTCGGAAGGATTTGGAACGGATAACGCTTTGAATTGTCGAAAAAAAAAGAAAAAAAAAAAAAAAAATGAAACGAACGCAAGAATTTCATTTTCAAAGGGTATTTATATTTGTATAAGAGAATTTCGGTTTTCGCAGGTGAATTCTGCACCGCACCCTTTTCAACTTTCAGCCAACTCTCTCAGCCGACGACTCTCTCCCTAACTCCCCTTCCAGTTCCACGCAACTCTACTATTTTAAACGGTTTATTTTTAAACGGCGTATTTTACATAAAGTATTTTCATCCAGCAGTATCCTAGAGGCGATTTGTATTTTTAGCGAGGTCCAATCTTTTCTTCTCCCCCTATTTTTTTTTTCTTTTTTTTTTTTTTTTTTTTTTAAACCCGATGTTGACGTTATCGCACGTTTTATTAATACCGTTGATCGCGCCACGCACACAATTTATATTTCGCGCGCCGACCCGCGATCCCCGCTTTCGTCCGCTGATTGTTTATTAATAGTGGAGACATACACGGAAAAAAAAAAAAAAAAAAAAAAAGAAGGAAAAGAGAAAAATAGCCAACGATCGCGTAGGCTTTCCCTTTAATCGGACACACCATCGATCGAAGCCGTAGAGCAACTTTTAAACGTTACGCTATCGAATACCGAAAATATCCGACGCTCCATCGTCGTGGAAACGTTCGACTTTTAACATTCTGCGATCTTTAGGACGAGTTTAAAGGAGAGAAAGGGGAGGGGAAAGAAATCATCGCGTTAACGGCGGGAACGTAGTCGCGTGGAAAAAAAAAAAAAAAAGAAGGCGAGAAGAGAGAGGAGAATCGCGATAACGAGCGCGTCGATTCCTCCGTACTTGGCTCCTTCAGCCCCCTTCTCTCTCCTCCTCTCTCTCTCTCTCTCTCTCTCCCCGCTCATTGTAACGAGATTACGCATTAAAAGGTCGAGAAACGAGGAAGTATGATGTAAATTATCCGGCTGTGGAAACGCGCTCGGCTCTCGGCTCTCGATAGTAAATTCACCTCCACGCCTCCGCGACAGTAAATTTACAGGCTCCTTGGAAACATCAACTGTCACCGTTTTAAGAACTCGCCCCGTATCCCGTACGCGTCCCGCATGCACGCTAATATCGCCCGTAAATACGTATTAAACGTATTATATCCGTTCAACGTTTCTCAGCTTTTATTAACGATCCTTCCCTATTGGACAATTATGTTAATTGCGCAGATTTTCTCGTTGTTTCTATCCTAACGTCGGACGCGCCTCGGCGAATTGCCGCGAGCTGATTTTCCGTCGCGAAACAAGGACGGGATGGAACGAGTCGAAACGACCCGTCTCTCTCTCTCTCTCTCTCTCACGAACGACGCCTGACCCATTTCCTGTAAATAGACGCGCGCGGTCGCGAGCCGAACCCGCGCGTTTCCTCGCGCGCTCTCTCCGCTTCGTACGGGAAGGAGGGAGGGAAAAAAGAGGAGGAAGAGTGGAAATTCGTCGATTCCTCGAACGAAGTTGACTTGTCCAGGTACTCTCCTTGTCCCTCTCGTTTGTCGCGTGCAGCCCACGTAATTTCCTTAATGGGGCCGCGATTAAGACGAAAATCTCGATCCTCGGCACGAAGCGAGCACGAAGGAGAGAAGACGCTGATGGATAACGGAGGCAGCCGCGGGCAACGATTTTACGAGGGCCCTCGAATAGCCTGCGTTTTGTTTGATCGTCTAAAGTACTTGCCTCTCCCCCTTCCTCCTCCTCCTCCTCTTTCTCCTCTCCTCCTCCTCCTCCTTTCCCTTTCTCCGCGATCGCGACCTTGCGATCGGTAGTTGTTGTTACGTCACTAGGAGAATTTACGAGAAGGAAAAAAAGAAAGAAGGAGGAGGAGAAAAAAGTCGAACGAGTTTCGGGAAATCCTCCTCCTCGTGGTCGTCTCCTTTTCGAGCGGAGGATTAGTTCATCTATCCCGAGTGAAGTCATCGTTATTTACCGGTGTACAGGAGGAGAGGAGAGTTTTCGATGAGTTCCCTATTGAGAGAAAGAAAAAGAGGCGGTGTTGGATCGCTGTAATAATAAATGTAAAAATAAATGATGGAGGAAAGGAAAAAAAAAAAAAAAAAAGGGGGGGAAAAAACGATCAAACGATTGTTGGCAATGAGGACAAGGAGCGAGTTGTAACGTTCCGGAAACGGGCGGCGCGCGACGGAGTGCGCGGAATCTTGAGCAAATGCGCGTCTCGGCCGGAAACGATCGTTAATCGACGATCACCGCGGCATCGTGCCGCGCAAAAACGTGCGAAAGAATCGCGCGCGGCTCGGCGTGACTCACCTCTGCCGAGGCAGAGCGATGCCGACACTCGAAGCGCAACGGAACGGACTTAAAAGGATTCGCGATCGTTAAATCGCTAATCGATCGATCGGTCAACCTGGCCGAGACGCGATCCCTCGTCGATGAACTCGCCGAAAATTTCCGATCGAAGCCTCGAAGACTCTCGTCTTTCGATCTTTTTCTTCTTTTCTTTCCTTTTTTTTTTCTCTCTCTCTTTTTCTTTTCCTTCTCCGATATATCGTTGCATAAAAAACGGCAATAATTCTTAATGAAGCCTTCACACGCGTGATAAACGCCATTCACTCGGCCGGATGAAAAATCGATTCGACGTGTAACGAGCGTGCACGCGGATAGAAGTTGCATTAACCAACAACTGGTGGACTTTTTATTGTAGTCGTTATTAATTTATCGGTAGACCTTGTTCCCTCTAAAAGTTCACGACGAAGATATATCTCTGTCACTTGACGAAACGAAGAAATAAGATCTGTTCGAATCTATTCAGTCTCTTCGTTTCTTTTTTTTTTCATATCGATCGCTCGTCGACTTTTTCTTATCGAGAAGTAAGAATTTTTTATTCGAGTATGCACGTGTGCGCATATATATATATATATATGTGCATCACGCATGGGCTACAAACGAAAACACGCTCGTCCCTAATTGCTCTCGGATGTGGGTTACGAGCTACGAGCCTCTCGTGTTCACCGTCCTGGCGATTTACACCCGCTGGAGTAATCGGAGTATTGAGTAATCAATACGAGCGTCTCGAATCAATCGCGAGAGAAGAGGTTGATTCAACGAGGCCTTCGTTAACGCGTGTCTCCCTTTTTTTCCTCTTTAATTCAACCTCTATTATCGATTCACAAACGATGAACGACGATAATCGATTTTCTTTCCCAAGGTATTGCCCTTCACGCGACGCATATTTTTCCATCGAGCAACGAGGAGGATATAATAACGCGTTCCTCTTTAATGGGGCAATGCCGGGGAAAATGGCGTTCGATCGTCTGGCGTGCTTGGCCGTTTTTTCAAGAATTATTCAGGCCACCTGGCTCTGATTAGATGTTCAAGGTGTTTCTTCGCCTCTCTTTCTATCTGTTTTCGGTGATGGAATTTAATGCTTCGGCCGTTGCCAAATGTGCGGCACAAAGTGAATCACGGTACGCTTAGGTATATACCGATTGTTACGAAATCGCGTGTTCGTTGCTCGAAATACTTAGATTCGACTCTGTTGTAACGCCTAACAATTTGTTCGAACGAAGATCTTGAGCGATTCCCCAACGCTTGTCTCATACTTAACTTTTCTCAACTTGAGATATCCTATCTACTATCTACTTTTCTTTTTTTACTCTTCTAAACGAGAGAATCGGAGAGAACGCATTCTATATATCCGTACAGAAACGAGGAAAGTTACTGTCAAAGAAGAATTGTAAAAATTCCTCTTTTCGACCCGCCGGCGATCTCGGAGCATTAACACGTGCGCGGATCCTCGTTTCCGGTCTGCCGCGAATCGACCGCGGCAAACCTGGTCGATCGAATCATCCTTGGCTCACGTAGGCGAGACAATGCGTCCGCGCGATAATGGTAAAACGTGTACGGGAGGCGTTTCGAACGGATCGGGCGGGAGATGCCAAAAATCGTCCACATCGGTTGACTGACTCATCGTGGCCGTGTACGAGAGTATTCGAAAGCGCGCGGTGCTAGTCATCCCGGGTATTTGGAGATGCTGGGTGGCTCAGGTGGTTGCGTGGCGGCCCGAAATAGAGGTGGTCGCCCGCGCAAAACCGCGTCGAGTCGGGCCGCGAATAGTGCGCGCCCACCGCCTTCCCGCGGTAATTTTAGAACGTTTTGTTTTCGTGCCAGAATGCCGTGGCGACCGGCACGCCGCACGCACACGCGACCGCGTGCTGCCTCTTGCGCGCCTCCGCGAGCGAGAGATTACGTTCCGCGCGTCCGCTTCGTCGCTTAGCGCCGAGATCGATGCACGCGCTACGCCCACGCCATGCAACGATCCTGGAGGAAGTCGCCGAGATTCCGTGGGGGTGTGCTTCGTTTCGAGAAACGTTCCGTCGATCTGTCGTTGTTCGGCGCGAGAGGATCTTTACTTCGTTGGGAAATGATTTCTTTTTTTTTGTTTTCTTCGCTTTTTATCAGACGTTTGAGAGTTGGAAGAGTTGGTTGGTGGAATTTTGATAATCAGTTTTGATAGTCAGGTTCGTGATCGTAAGGTGCAAAATGGGGAGGGGAGAATTGGAAGATGGAAGGAGAGGAGGAGAGAAATGAATTTCTGTATTCTGGCAGGTAACTAGCGCGCGAAACGATCTTCTTGGCTCGAGTGTACGAGAATATTCAGTTGGATAAGCGATTTGGGTTTCGGCTCGGACGAAAATTCGAAAACGCGGACAGTAGCGAATCGACGGTCAACGCAACGAGTTAAACGCGCTCGAGCGGCTTTTGATAAAGTTATATATGGCACTGACTCGTTATAATATCGTGCAACCTGTCTCCGCGACTGTCTCAAGCATCGATATGGAACGCGAATATGTTTCGAGAAAATGTATCTCGCGATAATGTCAGCGTGGTCGTTTCACCGCGCGATAAAATCGACAACACTCGTCGAACAACACCGTGAATAATTTCGACAAATTTCGGATCGAAATTGGGGAAAGGAATGTTAAAAGGGATGGGAGGACTCTCGAATCTATCCGGTTACGAGTAACCAGATTTTATCTTGAAAGTCGGTGGCAGCTCGGCGAGTGAACTCGCGATGCCCGATAAATGCTCTTCCGTCGTGTCGAATCGCTTCCGTTTACGCGTCACAATTTCCACGCGCGCGTGCTGATGCGAGGTCCCGTGCTCGTAAAAAAAAAATACGAGGCGGGGATCAAAATCGACGGTGGAAGAAGGGAATGGAAAAGAGAAATCGAGAAAGATGGAAAGAGCAGAGGGAACGAAGTTGACGCGGCAATCTCGTGGCAAGTGATAGCCAAATCGAGAAACACGGCTCGTTTTTATACCGATCCCCTCCTCCTCCTCCTCCTTCTCTCCCTCTCCTCCTTGCCTCTTGCCACGCGTGTCTTTTAGCGGCAAGGGATCGACAATGGTAAATGCAACGGCCTTTTTTAGTAACCGCGTTTAACGCGGTCGTTCGTTCGAGCCGTTTTCCTCGAGCGCTTTATCCAACTGTGCGCTTCGAGTTGCACGAGAGGAGGGAAGAGAAATTGAAGAGCGAGGAAGAAATCGAGAGAACAAACGCTGGAAGGAGAGTGAGACGCGCGTAAATACGTTGGCGACGAGGGAAAGAAAAGCTCGAGGAGGAAAGGGGGAAAGTAAACGGAGGAAAAGGTGGTGGGGAGGAGGAGAGAAGGAGAGAAGAAGAGAGGGACAAGCGGAGGCGGGCGAAGTGGAAAAGAGAAAGAGACGGCGAATGGTCGCGTGGCCGTGCGTGGCCCCAAATAGGGCATCAGGTGGTTGCACGACGCCCGCGAGAAAAAGATCGTTTGCGCGTGCGCAGACGCGCGTGTGCCTCTCGTAACCGGGCACACGCACGCACGTACACGCGCGCGTACAGGCAGAGCGGCACGCGCGCGCTCTTACAGGTGGTGGCAACCGGCGCACAGGAAATTGCTCCTTTGCCCGTGGTAGACCCGGGCCGGAACTTCGTCGAACCGCCGCCGCCGCCGTTCACCCGGATTATTTGCCGGAGCGATCGAACACCGCTTTCAAACAGATTCGACACGTGCATCGAGAGAGTAATCTCTCCCTCACCTGTTGCGCGCCTGTTTTCGACCCGCTTCCTTCGCTCCGCTCCAATTCCGATCGTTCAACAATCGTTGGAGAGATCTATCTCTCCAAGCGAGATACGTGCTAGGTTTGACGTGTTATTATCGCGAATAACGATAAATAAGATGTTAAATTAAAAATAACCTCGCCTCGTTTCGTCGCATCGATACGTGAGACGATTAGGCGACGTTGTAATTTATCTGCAATTAATGGTAACTTGTGGCACGAAATCTAACATACTTTAACACATTTGAATAATTTATAATGCTGTCGCGGCGAAATAACTCGGCGGACTCGAGGATAGCAAGTTGCGATAGTAACTAATGGAAAGCTTCATCCCTAAGCGGACCCTCGATTCGATCGATAAACGACGTTCGGCGAGAAAGGGAGTACACCGGTAGTAACCTCAAGCTCTCGAAACGACGATAAACCGACGTCTGTCACTGAGAGAGAGGCGTCGGTACGCCGGCGCCGTTCGCGTCAGCAACCACGAGCTTACGCAGGCAAGTAGAACGACGAGGGGCGGTGGACAGAGTCCCGCATTCGTTACATTACATTATACGCCGCGACACAAAGAAACGACTCAAGAAACTCTTTCTCCCTTCCTCGACCATAGAAGACGCAGTACAGCTCGTTTCTCCTTCGTAACAAACGTTCGAAGAATATACGATACGAGTTGAAATTGAAAATGCGGATAAAAGACGAAGAAAACGGAAGGAAATCACGACGAGCAACTGCATTTAATTACGCGGTTTGAAAAAACGCGTGTTTACAAAACTCGCTCGGACTTTCCCTCTTCCCCTTTTCCCAACGTGGATTCCTCCCCTTTAAATCCCTCGAACACACTTCGGAACGCGCTGTTCGTCGCGAAGGGAGATGAGCGCGCGCGCCTCGTCTACGTCACGCCGGTCTACGTCACTGGAGAACCGTGGAGCGGAGGGGACACTGTTGGGCGGGGGAGGGAGAGGGGGGGCGGCGAGCGAGAATGGAGGGGAGCTAGGGGAAGGTAGGAGCGCGCGAAGGGTGGCGTGGTGGGGGCAAAGATGCCTGCGAGCAGTGGCTCGCAGTGACGACGTGCAAGCCGCGTGGTGGGGGTAGCGGCGCGTGTGTACGTACACACATACGCGGCCGGCTATATACGCGGCACGGACACAGCCGCGCGTTGATAGGGGACCGCAGAGCGGGGATTGGCTGGCAGTCGACTCGCCGCTTCCAAATATGGGACAGTCTCCGCGGTCCATTCATAAAACTACGGGGCGCGCCGTCGCTCGGCTCAGTTCGTGCGCGACCCCCACGCATCGCGCGTCCTCCGGCAATCCGAGCGCGCGATCTGCTTCCTCCGACACGCACACCTATACCGCGGAGAGGTACACGATATCTCTCTACCGAGGCGCACGATAAACTATACGCGAAGGAGATAGAAAGAGAGACGGAAAGAGCGAGGGAGAGAGAGAGAGAGAGAGAAAGAGAGAGGGAGAGAGAGCGAGGAGGCGGTGAAGAAAGGAAGGGACGGAGGACTCACGGAACGACAAATAGGCGCGCGGTCGCGCGCGCCTGCACCTACGCGACGACACGCGCGCGCGCGCGCGCGCGAAATCATCGTCGCGTACACACCAGGATTCGCGAGTGAAAGAAGCACGGAGCATCTTTGATATAATTACGAACGCGGAGAGCTCGGAGAACCGGTATCTCGAGAACGTCTCGAGCGAGAGGGGAGAAAGAAAAAAAGAAAAACGGCGCGGAAGAGGGTGATCATCGACGCGATTTGGAAGAGGAGGCACCGGTACCGCGTTTCATCCCTCGACGCCGGCCCGGATCCGCATAGCCGCGTGTCCTCGTTCGTTTGGTGGCGCGCGGGCGCGCTCGAGAACGGAAACGAGAAACTTTGGCCAACGTCGATCCGTGGTGCGATCGGAGCGAGGATCGGCCGCGATCCGGCGATATTGGATTTTTCGAGAGTCCGCGCGTATAACTGGGTGGTGGTGGTAGTGGTTTGTGGTTGGTGGTGGTTGTGCGCGCGCGGTGGTGTGTAGTATCCAGCCGCCGCGGCGACAGATCGCAGGCGTGCGCGCTCGCTCGCGAGAGAGAGTGGGATCTCGGAGGTGGAAGAGAGAGGGAAAGAAAAGGAAGGACAGAGAGGCGAGCGATCGAGACACGGTTTTTGCCGCCCGGCGTCCGCTCCCTCGTGTGTATACCTCGCTGAGAAAGAGAGACTCGGCGCGTGCCGCGAGACGGATAAAAAAGGGGGAGCGCGTGCTACGTCCGCTTGACTACTAACCCAGTGACTCGAGCTATACAGGAGGGAAGGAAGGACAGATATACGACCGATCCGAACGGACTTGACGTTTCTCTTCAACTCTCGTGTGCGAACGGAGTTCGTCTCCCGTGTGTTCCACCACCCGTCTAAACATCGGTGTTTCACGGAGAACGCACGGAGAACGCGAACCAAGGATAACGCTGTTATTTAGACCGATACTAAAAAAAAAAAAAAAAAAAGTAATAATAATAATAATAATAATAATAATAATAAAAATAAAAGATAAGGAATAAAAAATAAGAAAGGACGGATAAAGGCTAACCCGTGGTAGAGCTTGTATACCGGTGGGAGAGAGAAAGAGGCTTAACTGTGTCGGGGCGACCGAGGAAGGACAACATTTTAACCATAATAATAGCGTTGAACGATACAACCGCAGGCGAGGACACGCAGTGCGGTACCGAGGAGATTGTCGCCGCCAGCCAGGGAGGCGACCAACTCCAGAGGATGACGATGGACGGCATGGAAGTGGTGGGCTCGCAACCCCACGCGGCCACCAGCCCGTTCTTGCTCTCACCGCCACCCCTTGGACATCACCATCATCATCATCATCATCCTCACGCCACCTTCAATCTGCAAACGGTGCAACTCAGTTTCGACGCGTGTCTACCGTACAACTCGGCGACATCCTCGAATTCGATCGTATGCGGCGTTGGCGGCACGTCAACACCGGCCGCCACCACTTGCACCTCGTCCACCAGCTGCAACAAGACGATACCGAGCCTGTCGCTGGCCCCTTGTGCACCCTTGCAAGCCCAGCATCAAAACAGCGCCGATACCACGGATCATCATGGCCGGCATCATCAACACCACCATCAACGGCTCAACGATCATCAACATCACCGGCACGTCGACGCTTCCTCACCTTCGACCGACTCGACCGACGGGAAACGACGTTTGCAGTCCGTCAACGAGGAGAAGGACTGCTCCAGGGAGTGCAGAGACGATCTTCAGGAGTCTAACGATAAGGATAAAACAGGTGACCTAAACACGCCGGTTACCACCAGCAGCGATTTACCGTCCTTCTTCGGCCCCTCCGCGCTCGTCGAGCCACCTCCTATTTCAGGTACCTACAATCAACAGTCCTTTAAAACAAAAAAAAAAAAAAAAAAAAAAAAAAAGAAATTTACAACTCGCCCTTCTTCTTCGATTCAAGCGACGATAACTTGTTTTCTTCGTCATTGACGTCGCGTCGTCGAAACTTTTATCGAACTGTTGTCGAATATTTTCAAAATATACTCGTATCGATAGAAATAATAATCCCTTGCGTACACACCTCGACGAGATCGAAGCAACGAGAACGAGATTAGAGATTGAATTGAGAAGAAAAATTCGGAACGGCGCGCGAGACACGTGAAAATAAACGCTCGCGCATCGAAGCGTAGTAGAATCTGGTGCGATTCGAACTCTAACGGCCTTGCACTTGCTACGTTTCACGAACGTCCCAACTTTCGCTTTCCGCATATCTGCCAACTCCTGCTGCTGCTGCTACCCTCGTCGCTGCGTCGTGCACCCCTCTCGAAAATGCGGCTCTCCTGCATCCAATTTCCGTACCGAATTCCGAATCGTCGCGGCCAAGTGCACGATGTGCCGGTGCGTGACGTATATCGGTTGGCTCTCGCGAAAACGGCTAATATCGAACCTGCCCGCCTGTCGCGGATCAATACTCGGCGACCCCGACATTCAGAAACCCTCCCCCTCCTGCTCCTCCTCCTCCCGCCCCTGCATCACCACCGCCTCCACCTCCGCCTTCACCTCCGCTGCCTCCCACCACCCCTTTACCAGTTCATTCATGCTTCCAACAGCCCCCACCCTCGCTCATCCGGACCGATACAACTACCCCTCGTCACGCCGGTAGTCGTCTTTTCCGCGACTTTCTCGCCGACTCGTGGACGAGCGGAGCGGACCGAGCATCCCCTTTGTCGCTGTCGTATCCCTCCCAGCCCCGCTCCTCCTCCGCGTATCCATCCATTTTCTTCCGGTATCCATCCAGGAAGGATCGAAATCGTGCTCGATACCCACGACACCCCGTCGTCCGTCCATTCGACGAGCGACGCCCGCGCGATCGACGCGAAACAGATGGTCAGCCACGGATGATTCGATCCCCGTTCGATTAAGATTCGCCGAGAAACCGGATGACCGCGGATTTTTCTCACTACTGGGAATCTGCCGATCTCATTTTCGGTAGGAAGCTACGATACGGTGCACGAAGGAAGGAAGTAACGGGACGACAGGATGTAGACGACAGATAGAGGCGACCGGCGCACTCTCGCCTCGTCGGATAGATAATACGTCATCCCCGTATCGCGCGCTCCTTCCTGTTGATTCGCGTGCTCGGCTCGGCAGATGCACGCGTACGCACGTCCAACCGACCAACCGTCCCGACTCGTGTGCGCGTGTGGCCCCCGCGACCTGTCGCCCGTCTTCTCTTCCCTCGGACACGCACGCACACACACGCACACGCGCGCACACACACACACACACCCACACCCACACGCATACACACACACATACGCACACGCCTTTCGTCACTGATCGAGAATTTAATGGATGATTTGTAGGCAGCCTGGCGGGCGAAGACCTATCCCTGGAAGAGGCGACCGCGGAGGACGATGAAACGGGCACCTCGACGGGCAGGGATCATCGACACCATCATCACCAAGAGTCTCAAGATCAAGGAACGCCTGGCGCCCCTCCCTCCGCTAGTCCACCGCGTCATCATCAAGCTCAAGACGACGCGGATCGTTGCAACGTGTTGCAAGGCGGCGTGATCCTCTACTCGCCCCATTCCACCTCCTCGGTGTCCTCGGCGCCCGCCTCCAGCGTCAACATCTGCAACGTGCCCACGTTGACCTACCACGGGGTCTTCACCACCACCTGCACCCAATCCTCGCCCCTCAACGCCCAGAATCAACAGCAGCCGCCCCAACAGCAGCAGCAGCAGCAGCAGCAGCAACAACCGACCAGCCAGGAGCTCTGGGGTCCGTTGACCTCCCCCACTTTGACCTTGACGAACCCACCGTTCCTCCACTCGGCGCTTCACTCGGCCCCGTACGGTGGCGAGACCGTCGAACTTCTGCCCGTCGAGTCGAAGCCACCCCCGCCACCAGGTTACCATGACACGCCGACCACGACCCAGGCCGCGTGGTTGACCACGCACGAGGATCCTTACGATCCGAATCTCCTGTCCCACCATCATCCCCATCACCACCGTCAAGAGGCCGCGTTGAAGCAAGAGCCTACCGGGGCGAGCGGTTACGGGCCGGCTGTTCAACAGCAGCAGCAGCAGCAGCAGCAGCAACAGCAACAGCAGCAGCAACCCCAGCCGAGCCAACAGCAGCAGCAGCAACAACCACCACCACCCTCGGCAGGTACAACGGGCGTCCAGCTGGCCGAGTACAATCCAAGCACGTCGAAGGGACACGAGATTCTCTCGCAAGTTTACCAGCAGAGCCCTCTGCCGCTCAGGCTGGTCCCGGTGAAGCCGCGCAAGTACCCGAATCGACCGAGCAAAACGCCGGTGCACGAGCGGCCGTACGCTTGCCCCGTGGACGGTTGCGACCGCAGGTTCTCCCGTAGCGACGAGCTCACCCGGCACATCCGTATCCACACAGGCCAGAAACCGTTCCAGTGTCGCATCTGCATGCGCTCGTTCTCGAGGAGCGACCATCTCACCACCCACGTGAGAACGCACACGGGCGAGAAACCGTTCTGCTGTGATCAATGCGGCCGAAAGTTCGCGAGGAGCGACGAGAAGAAGCGGCACGCCAAAGTCCACCTGAAGCAGAGGCTGAAGCGCGAGGCCACCCACGCCTCGGCGAGAAATCACCCTCAGAGCCACGCTTCGCCTCCTTGCAACCAGTAATCGTGTCGTCGTCGTCGTCGTCGTCGTCGTCGTCGTCGTCGTCGTCGTCGAGGATACTTTTGCCGATACCGTCGATCTCCACGCTCATTCCTTCGAAACCTTGCCAGTCGTACTCGACGACGCTGCTTTCACATCTTGCCGGGCGACGAGGAAACGACGGAGACCTTTAGGCGGAAGACACACGGGCTGCCGTCACCGACTGATCCGTCATCGATCGTCTCTGGCACGCAAGCGATCGCCGAGTACCATCACCACCGAGGATTGCCCTCAAATTGGCCAAATCGAGACGGCATTTTCGACGGTATATATGTATATATATGTATATATGTATATGTATATATATATATACATATATATATATATAACGACGCGTGATACCGAGATTAGTCTCGGATAATAGTACGTAAGAATCACTAATCGCGAAGGATTTTTCGTAAAATCCTTGTAAATAACTGTGGATATAATTTTTAACCGGGATAAATTGAACACGTATATATATTGAAAACGACGCGTCCGTGTAACGGTGTCGTCGTTCCCTACGAAGGGTTGTTCGCGTTCCAGAGAATCTTTCTTATGTGATCTCCGCTCTTCCGTTAGGGAACGATCGACCGGCGAACGCGAAATCGAGCGGTATATTGTCGCCTCTACTCTCACGTTTTTCCATCGGGATCTTATTTCGTCTCGTTTCTTTCTCTCCCGCTTCCTATTTTGCCTAAGGTAATAGCGTTACACGAGAGAGAGAGAGAGAGAGAGAGAGAGAGAGAGAGAGAGAGAGAGAGAGAGAGAAAGAGATTGACTAGTTGCATTTAGCTCGGAGGAACGAATACGGGCGAAAATTCTAGCTTTATCGAGGTAGCGTAAGGTACTGTTAGGTTGTTTTCTCGGCGACGACGGTCGGTATCAGTCCTCGACAACGGTGATGTTTTTAGCGGTAAACGGGAAGAACGGGAGAGAAAGGGAGAGAGAGGATGAAGGCGAGGAGAAGATATTCGAAGCGAGGCGACGCGTTGGAGATTGTTATTTACGGCGGTCGCGTTTTATGCCTCTGTTTGCGATCGGGAACGAGATGCAGATGCGAAAATCGGCGTTAACCGAGAGAGCCCGCGTAGATACACGCGCGAAATATGCCCGGTGTCACGAAATATTCTCGAACGAATCACGGTAGGATCGATACCGCCCGCAGCTTCCGGGAATCAGGCAGGAATTCGCCGAAGGAGAAGGAGAGAACGAAGCGAGAAAGAACGAAATGAAACGAAACGGCGCTCGCACGCTCTCGATCGCATGCAAACGAGCGCGTGAGAAGAAAAGAAAAAAGAAAAGAAAGAAAAGAAAAGAGAAAAGAAAAAAATCCCGAGCGCGCTTCTTGAAACGATCACGGGAGGGAATCGCGGGTATCGACGAATTTTTCCAACTCTCTCATCCATCGAAACCGGTCGATGTCTCTCTTTTAGCCGAATATCATACGATTTTCGGTCCGTGATCATCCGATTCCAGACGCTGTTTTTGAAACGTCGACGTGTATGTATGTATTTTCTAACTATTTTTATAAATCGTGACACGAAAAGATGAAAAAAAAAAAAAACGTAGTTCGATATCGCTCGCGTAACGATGAGAGAGAGTCGTTAATTATCCGCGTAACACACCCTGACTCGTTGCAAGATGCGATCGACACCGACGGACGATCGATATACACAAATACACACACACACACATACACATATACACATACTATTTTGCGTCCTCGAACCTTGTGTCTTTCAATCATACAATCGAAATAATCGCTTCTTAGAGTTATTTGTTATCGTCCTCTACCTCTGAAACTCGTTCACTCGTTCCTATCACACCTTTCGTGCTCCGGACACGCTAAATCTCGGACTTTTACCGTGTCCTTCTTGCCTTCACCCCTTCCCTTGCTCCACTCGAATCCCTCGCCGCGTAGAACTCACACCATCGCACCGTAGGGCATCCTCCGCTTCTCAGAAGTCCCAACCCTTACGCGTATTCCCGTGAATTAACCCCCATTTAACCGCCAGTAAACCCCACGAGTAAAGTATGTAATTAGTTAGCGATTATATCGTTGTTGAACCGGGAGTTTTTCCTTTGTAAATATGTATATAACGTGTTATACATATGTACACATGTATAAGTTACGTCTAATCGTGGTGAGACGGAAAAACAAAAGAGAAAGAGAGAAACCCCCTCAAATCTTTCACTTTCCTCCTTTTAATCTTGCCGCCCTACTTTCCCTCCTCCTCTTCCTCCTCCTCCCCCTCCCCCTCCCCCTCCCCCTCCTTCTCCTCATCCCCCCTTCTCGATCGCGATCGTTTACCTGTATAAAATATTGAGTTTAGCCGCGATTAATATTATGTATATGTTGCTCTATTTATTAACAAAATGAAAATCTCTCTCTCCTATATATATATGTATCTATAATATATATATATATATAAAATGATATATATAATAGTTATATATATTTATATATAAAACGAGGAGATATAGAGATATATATATATATATATTGTTAAAATTAAAGGATTATTTTTATTATGATTATTATATTATAATTATATTATAATAACAAAAAATACTATAATTAATGAAACGCGTGATAATTGCGTACAGCTTATGGATCCCAAGCGTTCTTACGCGCTCTGTACCTACCTATCTACTCGACGATGGTTGCACCGGCGCGTGTGCGATATTATCCGCTATTGTTCTAGATAGATCGGAAAATATGTAGGCAGAGGAGCGTATACGCGCGCGCACGCGCGTTCTCGTGAAATAAAAAGCAGAGAGAAAGGAAAAAAAGAAAGAAAGAGAGAGAAAGAGAGAGAAAGAGATTAAGTATAAGTATGCCTGTCGATGTGTGCGTGTGCAAGAGAGAGAGAGAGAGAGAGAGAGAAGAATTTAATAAAAGAGAAAGGAAGATGAAGAGAAAAGAGGAATAATAATAGAGAGAACAATTTTTTTACGAACGATAATTACATCATAGTTGGATAAATTATGTGTAACTATTATACAATACGGTGCTCCGCGTGCAATGCACAGAAAAGAATCTCTCGACTATCTGTATATTTGTGTTGTAATCATCGTTGCCGTTTAATCTGGCCGGTTCCCTACGACGATTATTAACAAAAATACAAAGTTAACATTGAACAGCAACACACACGGTCTAGTTCTTCTTCCATACCTCGTCCGTGCAACCCTGCCTCGAATACAATAACTCGTAACCCTTTGTAACCACAATCCAAAGTTTCGCGCTTCATCGTTTTATCGCCTTTAACTCGAACGAAGAGAGAGAGAGAGAGAGAGAGAGAGAAAGAGCGTTAAAGCTGAAAGCACGTTTCGTTTTCGATGCACTCCTGGCTTTCGATACAGTTTATTTCGAGTTATCGGTGTTCGCGATCTGTGAAAGGTATATATAAGCCATAAATCGTTCGAATCGCGTATTTATAATATGTTTCATGAGCATAATGGCGCGCAATAGTGTCGTTTGTCACGTTGAACGATTTCTCGGAGTATCGTTATTTTCGCCCATTATTTTCCCTTCCCTTTTACGCGTTAGCGTCAGCCACATTCATCGACCGCGCAGACATCTTTATCGATCATCGACAATTACCGAATAGGGCATTGACGATCAAGGATGTCGATACAGGCGAACCGCATCCTACGCGACCGAACTATTGTTCCACCTCGAGGTGTGCGCGCGTGTTCGAAAGGCCAGCCTACCTATAGAGATTAATAAGGACCGGTCCATTGCACGAGATTAGTCGTTTCTCGATGCAACCGCTCGCTCTTGTACCTCTTGTACGTTTTCCGTCCCAACCTTTCACCGTAAACACGCGGTTGGCGCCTAAACTGCGAGCTGATCGGACTTTCCGGCTACGCTTATCTCGATTTTTCCCTTGCCCCGATACGAATCGCGAACAACCGCCAATTAGCAATGGCCGCGCGTGCCAATGTTTCCTCTTTCTCCGACAAACTCCATAGTTTCTCTCTTTATCGCCGGCGGGGCTCTCTTTATCGGTCGGCCATTGATCGAAACCAATTTAGGCTCGTTCAATCGCCCCTGAAATTAAGTTTCGTGGACGTGCAAAGAAGGTTGCACCTTTGCTCGCATACGGTGTACGCGAATTTCACGTGAAACGTGAAACGTATCGGTACGTTTTCGTGTTGCGCATCGCGTCGCGTGAATCTTGTGCGGAGAGAGAGAAAAAAAAAAAGGTTGGAAGGAGGGGAAAAAAGAAGAAACGGTCTCGGATGTATAGGACGCTAAAACGTCGGAATAAAAAATTGTTATCTCGTTCGTAGCTTGGAGCGACGTTGCCTCTTCCAAAGATGGTCATCCATATGATTCAGAGGAGAGGCGAGAAAAAACGACACGTCGGTCCGTGCTACCGGTCACGACGAAACGATCGTTTCCGTAATCGGCTAATTAACGGAAAACGGCTACGCGTCCCTCGAAACTTGGATATATAGGTCTCTGGACGGGGCCACGGAGGCAACACAGCCAGCGTCTCGACGCTCGACACGAGAGAGGGTCCACGTCATCGATTCTTCGCGCTCGGACGAACAGTTTTGGCCGGCTCGCTGCCTCTCGCGTGTGGAGAACGTGCAATGGCCACTACATAGGTGTACATGCACACCTATATAGGAGAGACAGTGCAAGAAGTGGGCAGGAGTGAGGCTGTGAGAGCACGTCTATAAATAGGACCAAGATCGAGATGAGGCCTCCTCTGCACTTCGTGATACCTTCTCTCCTTTTCCCGCCATCTTCTCCATCTTCCTCTCCTCTCTACTCTTCCTCTTCCCTATGCTTTTTTTTCTCAACTCCTCGTCCATCCTTCTTCCACCTCGTCCCGCGCCTCTATCTCTGTCCCTTTCTCCTTCTCTTCGTCCCCTGTCTCCGTTTCGCTCCTTTCTTTTACTCTCTTTCTCTCGATTCCCCGTCCTCGTCGCCATCCGCCGTTTCCCGCTTTCTCTTTCGATCCTTCCATTTCACTCGCGCTCGCGGACCGAGCACATCTCTCTCTCTCTCTCTCTCTCTCTCTCCCTCTCCCTCTCTCTTCTTCTCCTTCTCCCCCATTCGTCTCATCTCTCCGTTTAGCTCCTCGGCTCCTAAACCACTTCTTCTCCTTCTTCGTTCCCTCTCCGTTACAGACATCCCTCCCACTAACGACTGACAAGCACGACGACGCGCTCCTCGCACGACACATAAGGATCGCGTATACGCTGGCGCGCGTGCAGCCGAGCAAAAAAATGTCGTAAAATATAGTTCCTCCGTGGATATGCAAGCTACGGACGGGCCGGGCCCTCGAAGAAGAAAAATGCGCGTTGGGTCGCGCGACCGGCCGCTCTTGGGACGATCGAATCGATGGGACGAGTCAGGTAACATCCACTCCTCGTTCCTCGCGGTTGATCGTAGGTGTTGCTGAAATTTGATTCCCCGCCGCGACGCTGCACCGACGCGACTTCCGATCATGCGCGCGCATTCATCCCCGCGTTGCAACTCGCCGCGGTACCTTCCGACTTCCGACATTTAACCACACGAGTGATCGGATACGTCATATACCATTGCTTTTTTATCTCTCGTTCGATCTTTTTTTTTTTTTTTTTTCATAGTTTCTCTCTCATTCTTTCTCAGATTAGAAGAAGAAATAGATACGAGGTAAATTAGGGAAATACAGGAAACGTCGATTTTCCTCGCTTTTCTCGCTTCAACCGCGGCAGATTGCTCGCGATCATCGAGAAATATGCCGCGTTTATCTTGTTCTTTTTATTCATTTATTTATTTATTTTTTTTTTTTTTCTAATATTTCCAAGGCGATGTTCTATCTCGGGGCCTCGGATCGGAGGCGAAGTACGGCGCGCATCGACGCGGCAAAACGAGCATTCCGCTTTCATTCGCGCCGCATAACGATACACCCGGCCTGCGTGTCGCATCGATCTTATAAACCAGCATCAAACGGAGAGCAGCCGAATGAGCGGAGCCGGCCAGCCAGCCTCAGCCACACCCCGACGCGATTAAACCTGTTGCTGCTTCGCTCGTGCTTCGGCTCGGCTCCATAGACGCGTACACGTAGGTGTTCGACTGCGAGTATATGCGGAGATCGCTCTTAAACTCTTCGGACGAATGCTCGAGGACGCGTAGTTACCAGTTTCTAATCAATAGATTCCGGACGATTGACGATTGTCGATGGAGGAACGGGAGATATTTTCTTGCCTTTGCCACTCCAACTTCTTCTTGTACAATTTGCTTATTTTCTCTTATCTTATACATAACAGCTCAAGGAATATCTATAATTTTTGCGCATACTGTAAATCTTATTTGATATATAATAAAAAAGAAGGAGGAAAATTCGAAATTTTTGAATTCTTTATAATCGCGTAATAAGTGCGATGATTGTTTCTGAGAACACGGATAATTCGAGTATAAGGTATGTTGTTTCAAAGAAGTAATGAGAATTCAATTCGGAAAAGTGTTGATTGAGAGGTAGAAAATCGAAAGATTTTATTACGAATAGAATAAATCATATTTTACAAAAGACAAAAATAATAATGTGTAATAATGTGTTATAATATGTAATAGATATTAGGAAAAGACAAAGATGTAAAAAAGAGCGGGGGAAAAAAATTACTGGCATCCGTTCCATTCTTCGCCATCCCCAGTTTCTCTTACCTTTGACTTATGACTCTAACGTTGTCCAACGAGATCGATGCAAGAGCAGCGTATATAACGAGCTACCGAGGACTCGAATTTCGCGTCTCCAGTAACGATGTGACGCAATTCGGTAAGCCGCGAGGGGTGAAGCGGATGCTAGGTGGGCCGTGAACAGAAATTAGGGGGTAGGTTTCACGTAATGAAACCGATCTTATCGTAACGTTTAATTCGGTGGCCTGTTTATTTTCGAGCCGCGACGAAAATCGATCGTGATAAAACACGGCACACCAAACTCTTGACGACTCTTGAATCAACGATTTCCAACCTTATATTCCTCTCCGTACAACAAAAATTCCTTCCTCCGACTATTCTATTCCACTTTTATCGATTACGTACGTTTCTCATTCGTCTGGCGTATACGTACGTGTATATATGTATATACGTATAGCTAGAAACACATATAAATTTGTAAGGAGTAAGAGTAAGAGTAAATGGTGGAAAAGAACGAGACGAGAATAAAGCGGAAAGAATCCTTGGATCGGGTCGCGGCGCGTACGGAGCAGCATCCGGAGAAGTCCTCGCTGGGGGTTAGGGTCACGTCAACGTAAAACCAAGGTAGAGATCGTGGCGGTGGAGGCAGCGTATGCGACGTGGTGGGGAAGGGCAAAAAGGTGGCGAGAGAGAGAGAGCGAGGGGGGTTCATTGAGGAACGGCACGTGCGGAGAGGACAGAGCGCTGGCGAGGAGAGAGAGCTCGATGGAACGAGCGGTCACGACA